CGGTCAAAGAACTAGAAAGTTCTAAATTCGACGCGTAGTTTTATATAAATTCAATGATGTATAAGAAACGGCTGAATCGGTTTTATTATTTATTTATAACAATTAGGTTATTGATATATATATATATATATATATATATATATAACAGGGGTGGTACTGTATTAATATAAAAAAATTGCATCCCTAAGGGAGAAAAAATAGGGGATGAAGATTAAATGTCGACATTCTAGTTGTTACCTTGAACTTGTTATACTTCTTAGACCACTTAAAAGAGGTAAAAAAATTAAACTTAATAAAAAGTAAAAACCGACTACAAAAATTAAAAAGATTATAATACTTTCTACATAAGCTTCTGAATGGCCTTTAATTCTCGATTCACTTCAGAAGTTTTTATGGGAAAATTATTTTATTATTTTTAAGTTTCGTAATCGGTTTTTACTTTTAAATAAAAGTTTATTACGAATTATATTCAATTGTAAAAATATTTTACAAAATTATTCTTTTAAGTTGCCATGATAAAACACTGTGAGTGACTATGAGTGATAAGATAATAACAATTGTAAATAATTTATTTTTACACGCAATATATTTGACCTGTTTTAAATATGCAAATATGAATGTTAGACCAGCTTTTAACAATAAATTAAACTAAAAACTAATTCAAATAACAGTTCTGTTTTTTCAGGTAGTGTTATAAGCTTATAAGGCGAGAGCCGTCGCGTCCTGTGTCTATCACGACTTAACTAGCCGTATTTCTCGTCCTATTCGTTTAGCTTTATCTGTTTCTAATGTTTCGTGCATGTGACATCCTCACCCTCACCGGTTGTTAAACGATAATTTTATATTTGTATCCCTTACCATGTAGTGGCTTTGTAAGAATATCCACTACCCCATATCATCCCGTGGGTGTCGTAAGAGGCGACAGAGGGAAACAAATCAGGAGATAGGCGGCAGCGTCTTGCTAATAAAGGCTAAACATGGCAACTATGGCAAATATCCCCCCTATGAGGCACTCTATAGGGGAGGAATATGTTCACAAGTGGAGTTTAATAGGCTGTAACGGTAACGATTACAGTGCTTCAATCGTTATTACGTATGTTGTTGGTGATGATGTTATTACGTAAATAATTACATTTTAAAATTTAATTCCATACTAAAATAATCTAATATTAAGTCGCATAATCGAGGTGATAAGACCGTTCGTGAAAAGAACTTAATGCCAATGCTATAGATATGGGTCATTTATGATTATGTCCGATCGAAACTTCCCGATTCGCATTACGTGCGCAGATGGAAAAAAACCCATAGGTGTTTACATAGCATGTTATTACAAATCCGGTTCCTATAATTGAACTCACTTGACAGAAAATCATTAGTTGCCTAACAAGTATGTTATATAAACTCTTTTGTCACGTATATTAATTATTTATGTAAAAAAAATATTGTTTGAATTAAACTAAAATACCGACGGGTGTGCTGACAAATATAAATTGTTTTTTTTTAAGCAAAATTACCATTATTTACAACACAGGTATTTTACAGAACGTTGTTTGATGTTGATTGAAAACTTGCTCAACAAGCCGCCTTTCTATACTTAAACGTTTATATAGAGTAATACACTTCTGATTACTGTATCAGTGTGTAATGATGTTATAACTTATTTACAAATATTACCCCCACGTTCGCAAACGTGCACTAGAGCCTCGTTACTTAGATCGTGACACTATATCAATTCGATTTTCGAAAATGCCGAACTCAAACAATACACACTGGTGATGCGGAGTAGCGTTACCAGTGCAAAGGTATCTTGCTACATAAAGCAAGCGCTCATCACAATGACGGAAATGCCGCGTTTTCAGTAAAAATGGGTCTCTATTTCTCTATACAAACTAGACAATTGGAGTACTAAATAACTAAGGTCTGATTGTTTATAATCATCATCATTACAGCCCTTCACAAGTCCACTGCTGAACATAGGCCACTCCCAAGGAATGCCACAAAGCACGGTCCTAAGCCACCTGCATCCATCGACTTCCTGCATGTCTCGCCAGGTCTTCACTCCATCTAGTGGGGGGACGCCCTACATTTCGCCTGCCGGTACGAGGCTGCCACTCGAGAACCTTTCTTCCCCATCGGTTGTCGGTTCTTCGAGTTATATTAGTTATCGAGACGCAGTAGCTACTTAGCATCAGGTGGAGTGTAAGTTCGCTTATCACTAGTTTTAAAAATAATTGATTAGAAAAGACAGATAGTGTAGGAAAAGCAGATGCATAAGTATTAAGAAAGAATAATTAATATGTAATTATATTTTCTGTTATACGTGGTAGAGCCACGCTGCAGTTATACATAGCTGCAGCACGAATGGGTCTGCACGATCGGCGTGAAAAAGTAGAATAATGCTGTTTTGTTTCGTATGGTGAGTGTATAAAACCGGGAACCCTTCTATACTGGTGAAAGGCATTCCATCTTAGTCCTCGGGGGTGATCGCATCTGCGTTTTGATTCTTATTCGATGATAGATGAAGATGTTTATGAGCCATAGCATCTACTAACCATCAGGTGGACTATGTGTTCGTTTGTCACAAAAAAAATCCTTTGTCAAGTTTGAAGTTCAACGTAACGCGACCTCCGGTCTATTAGGAACTGACGTATATAGTATCTGTCGTTCACTAACGAGAGCACAGTGTATGTAATGGAACCGGTCTAGATTTAGATATTATAGTGCTCTCGGGCTGTCGAGGTCACCGGTCCCGACCTGGTAATAACTAGTATTAGAGCTCACCTAGCGCGAGCAAAGCCGATGTTCTCTTTTATATACCTACATTGCGGTGCATCAAATTTATTGTCAAAATTTCTATGTTGTTGCAGTTGTCAAAAAAGCCAAAAGATGTAGTACTAATTATGCATCTATAAATTGGCCTCTAAAAATCTTGGCATGCTCAGCAGAGCGTGGCAGTATTTCGAGCCGACACACCGCCTGCAATTTTACCTGCTGTAAACTTGCTGCGGTTCGGTCTCACATGGAATACTGTTGCCATCTCTGGGCTGTGGCTCCCCAGTACCAGCTCCTTCCACTTGACCGCATCCAGCGCAGAGCGGTTCGAATCGTCGACGACCGAGTCCTTACCGATCGGCTCAAATCACTGGCGCTGCGAAGACATGTTGCATCCCTTTGCATATTCTTTCGCATTTACCACGGGGAGTGCTCTGAGGAATTGTTCGGATTAATCCCAGTCGCCAAATTTCACGTACGCACATCGCAGCAATACTCACGATACCATAGATTCTAGGCCATACCCCAATTTCGCTACATAAAGTCGTTCTTATACTTTAGCTAGACATCAAAACCATATTAATATTAACGTTACAATAACTGCAGACATAGATAAGTTTATTTTCTAATTGATTCACTTTAGATTACATAATAAAAAAATGTAATTGAAAAAATATATGTACTGCCGTCCGTTGGTTTGTGTGTCGGTGATCGGTCAGTCTTCTCGCTTAATAGAAATGTAAACAATAGATTGAGATACATAATTATGTAGTATTAAATAAGATTCCATTTATTCTAAGGAAAATCCCTATTGATTTTTATTATTGAACTCAACACCGTTTAATAGTTATTAATGAAAGTCGATCAGATTCTCTGTTTTTTTCTCTTGTAAACACTATCACTATTTTTATTTTTTTCATAAAGATTAAATGAAACGCTCATGAGGCGTGCACTTTTGGTTTTCCAAATTTTTTCCATTTGTTATCAGGAAGATGTTGCTACACGGTAAAATTTTTTTATTTTACCTGTTAAATGCAAATGCGTGAAAAGAGTGATGTTGTTAACTTTAAACGTGGCATTTTGTTAGTTATTAAAAGATCACCGTGGCACTGTGTGAAATTATTTTATTCTTTTCAATCCTTTAAAGTCAGCCGAGTTCTTTTTAACCTTTTATATGTATATTAAAAACTTGATCCCCTATTTTTTCCACCCTTAAGGTTGTTTTTTTTTTCAATTTTATGTATGAAAATTTAATTTATGTCTAAAGTATAACCTATTTAAAAAATTATCATTATAATCATCATATTTAAAAAATGTCACAATTGACAAAGATATTGCGTTACATATATACAAACAAATATATCTTCGAATCTAGACCCTCTTCTTTTTTTAAGTAGTCGTTATTTTGGTTACAATTTGTAAATATTCTAGTAGGGTTATTTGAAGTGCACGCCATTTTGTTTTGACAGGTTTGTTTACCCTTACGCAATTAAGAACTATTATTTTATAGAGTAGGGTAAGTCCGGGGGAGTTGGCCATAGTTTTTAAAGAAGTCACTAAAATAAAAACTACAAGGATTAATTAACAAAAATCAACTTTTTATTAAACTTTCGACATTAAACTCTAAGAAAATCACAACATTTTTTTGTCATTTTAACATAATCAGTCTCATAATTTACTTTTTCTCAAATCACGATTGGCCATCTCTCCCGTAGTGCCCGGTAGAGATGGCCATAGAAGCAAGGGAGAGATGGCCAGTTTGTTAATCTACATTTTAATCACTTTTTCCCTTTAAGTTTTTGAGCCTCAGCTCATTCTTCTTTTTCTGTCCACATGATGAACACTTATCATCGAATTCGGTGCAATTTTCATGTACCCACAGTTGGCATATAACGCATTGAATCCAATCTTCGATGAGTTGCGTTTCGTAATAATTTTCTCCACAACCTACACAGTTATCCAATTCTCTGTTTCCATCTTCTTTATCAGACGAATTACATAATATTAGTTCTTCATCCTCATCACTACTTTCAGATAACTTTCTTAATGATTTTCTCTTTCTTGGTGCTCGTTTTATTGGTTTTATCTCAATTTTTCTTTCCTTTTTAACGTCTTTTTCGAAAATTTTTTGTTCCCTATTTTTTTTAAGCGCTTCCTTAAATTTTCTTGTTTTGATGTGATTCTCTGAGGTTAAAAGCATGCCTACCTGTTTAGCACGTTTGCGTACTTCAATAATTTTTTGTGGAACTGGCGATATTTGCTTTAAAATACGTGTTGGAGTCTGATCTGGCAAATCGCTTCTTGGAGAGAATTGTTCTGACATTTTTTTTAATTACTGCTGCTGAAGCAGTAGCAAATAATTTTTTAGGCCTTCTTGTAATCATTTCAGGACTTGCGTTTAAAACTATTCGCTCAACAGAGTTATTTGGCTCAGCGATTGCAAGTGATATGTCTTGTCGCACTTCGAAAGTATTTGGAACTGGTTCCAGATTAGCAGAAGCTATGTTACTAGTATTTTCTTCTTGCTCCTCGACCATAACAGTGGCTGTACACTCATTTTGAGATTTAGACATTTGCTTTGTCAATTCTTGGGTAAACGCGTAGTCGGGAATTGCAGATGGATTGAAGGGGCGGACACCTGTAGCTTTAAAACCCGCAATTGCATTCTCTGCAGAAGCTGCCTTTCTCCACGCCTTATTAAGCAATCTTCCAAATGATAATCGTGTTATACGACGACCAGGATTTTGTTTTAGCCAAAGTCGATACTGCTCGTAAAAATGAGTCTTCAGTGATTTAAACACCGTACGATCTAGTGGTTGGAGGTAGTGAGACGTGTGGCTTGGCATTGAAAGTAAGTTGATGTCATTGTCATTTGCATATTCCAGCATTTCCACAGAATTACAGTGAGTTGAATGACCATCTAGTAAAAGAAGTACTCTTCCAGCTGGTTTCCTCGGAACAAAATGTGTTTTCAACCATTCAATAAATAAATCTGAGGTAATGTACGCTGATTTTGGGGACATGAAAAGTTTCGATCCCGGTGGCATCCCATCCTCAAACTCAGGTTTTTTGTTTTTGCCTTTCATGATACAGGCAGGTGGTAAAAATGTACTTTCAGCATTGCAGCAGGCTATAACTGTAATCGTTTCTCCCTTTTTAGTCGAAGTAACTGTAGATACAGCCTTAGAACCCTTTTCAGCTAGAACATGCCCTGGTCGATTATTAAGCTGAAGACCAGTCTCGTCCATGTTGAAGATACAACTCGGTTTCAACACACCATCGTCTACTGTCAATATGCTTTCAAGAAGCTCAAAGTAAGCGTCAACCTCCAGTTTATTCATAGCAGTTGATCTAGCTAAAGATACTCCTTCTGACTTTCTTAATGTAATATCGTGGTTTCTTCGTAAAAAACCTTGCAACCAGTCATATCCTGCTTTCTCAGTTTCTCTATTAAATCTGTGATTCAAATTCAATTGCTCCGCGAACTGGTACGCAATCTTTCTGACGTCATCAATAGTCAATGGGAAACCATTTTTTTGCATAGTTTTAATATGGTTAGCGAGTTTCTTCTCATTTTTTTCGCCGAATATAGGGGATGGTCCCATTGGTCCTTTTTTGTCATTATTTTTCTTGTATCGCCTTTCGAGGGTCTTCCTTGGTACTTGATAGGTTATTGAAGCTGCGTAGATAGTCATTTCACCTTTTTTAACAGCATCCATGGCCGCCTTAAGTGACTCTTCACCCCAGTTCCCTCGTGAGCTGCAAGCTTTTCTTTGGTATTTATTTGGCATCTAAAAATAAAATATTGTGATATGAAATACTAAAACCAAATAAGTATAATAGCACCATAAATAAAGAAAAATATATCAAGTTATAATAATATAACTTTCACCATTACGCTTTACATATATGGTAGGTGTGAGATGGCCTTATGGTCATCTCATACCGATTATGTATGGCCATCTCTCCTAATCAGCCGGGATAGATGGCCACACATTATTTGTAGAAAAATATAAACAACCCACGCGCCATTTTGAGGTTATGTTAAAGTGTGGGTCATTAACTGAGCACTTAACTTAAAAAAAGCACTTACTTTTTATGACGTCTTTTCACCACACTGTATAACGTAAACCCTTTGACAACTTTAGGCTATATACAAATAAATGTAGGTACATTTTACTTACTTTTTCGATTTTTTTCGCCGGAGATGGAGCGAAATGTCGTTCCCACGCACAGCACAAATTGAACTAACGAGAAAGTAGTGCCATCTAGTGAGTGTAACTATGATTTTTTTTTAGTGGCCATCTCTTCCTTACGGCCAACTCCCCCGGACTTACAGGGTAACAAACGAGCACACAGCCCACCTGATGGTAAGTGTGATGCTGTAGCCCATAGACATCTACATCTGTCCTCGATTAACAATCAAAATGCAGATGCGTTGTCACTCATGATGCCTCGTTTCTTAAAAAAAGGGTCTTCGGTTCTCTACACTCACCACACGAAACACAGCAATATTAAGCGGTTATTGTTCGCTGGTACTCTGTGAGATCGTATCACTTTCCCGGTCGAGCTAAAACCATAATATTGCGCCTGATAGAAAACTGAGCATTGTTGTTTTTGTTCCAGGTTCGAGTTGAGACGCACTCTCATAATATGGAACAGTGCACTAGCGGCGTTCAGCATCATGGGCGCGTGTCGGACGCTGCCCGAATTCATTCATGTACTGCGGAACCACGGCCTCTACCACTCCATCTGTGTGCCAAGGTGAGTCTCCGCACTTTCTCTGCGATTCAGATATTATTTTGTAGGTTATGAAGATAATGTAAGATATAGTTGTCTCTCTGATAATCGTAAACTTGTGAGATGCTTCGTGATTATTTAATTGTTACATTGGTCTATGGAGAGCGTAAATTGATATTGAATATTTTTAACTTCCTAATAATAGCCTTTTGATAAATAAAATCGTGTCTGGTATACAAATTGCTTTAAGTTCTCAGTGGCGAACTGCCTTAATCACACCTCGTTATAATTGAGAGTAAAACCCAGTCGTGAGTATTGCTTTTTTTGTTGGTATATTTTCTTGTTATAGGAAGATTCCGATCCCAAACATATTACGTATTCTAGCTTATGAATGTTTCCTGCATAAAATAAACCGATTCTATGAAATGAGACCGCAGTTTATAGATTGGTTATACAGGAAAACGCTGTAATAATTTTTAAGATGTTTGCTTGTGTGAAACTACTTTTAAAAGAAAACTTCGACTATAGTGTTTTGTATGAAAACAAATAGGGGTACTAAAGCAAACAATAAAAATGTATTACATGAAAAATACACGCTGAGTAGGTCCTTGTGTCAAATAAATATCCAATAGAATATTGATGCTCCCTTGGTGTATATTTAATATTATGTGAGTCAGCTCCAGCTCCAGCAGACACTGATTTATTCTGTCAAGCGAGCGGGCATTACGTTATTCTGATATTCCAAAAAAAACATTGCTTCCAATTGGCCTCCATCTCAAAGGCAGTGCTTGCAACGTTTTGTTTCAATGTTGGTTGTAAATGTTCTGTTGTTGGAGAAAAAAATGTAGCGAATGAGGATTGTCTTTTATTTAACATTTCTTAATTCTCGTAGACTGCATATCACATATTTATTTTTCCAGTTCAGATTCGGCTTTTTTTTCAGTTTTTAATGTTTAAAACGTAGACCAACGAAGAAAGATACATGGGGTGCTTCGTACATTTTAAGTGTCTCAACTTCTTGACGCACTCACGCGCTCATCTTTTTCTTTCTTTCTTCATCACCCCGTTCACTACTATACGTACACATATGCACCTCAAACCATGTTATATCACTTGAAATATACACAGTGCTCAGTCATTTGAGGTTTAAAATAACCTTACAGAATTTTGTTAACTTTTATTTTCAGTGTTACCATATTGTATTTATTTTTATTGGTGTTAACATAAGAAATAGCTTAACCAGTGCTATTATTTGTGCCTTTACAGTTTATAATAGTAAAATAATGCAAATGTAATTATATTTTTTACACAAACCAGCTATAATAACTCAAAAAAATTGAAAGTAACAAGATTGATACGCTTTATGCATTTAAATCGTAAATGTTTTTATGACTGGGAACAATGGTTGCTCTAATGATCTCGTTCTCACTGTCTTTGCTATGGTGCCAATTATCCACAACTATCTCGGTCTAGTGGTTCTAGTCCAAGCTCTAAGTAATGTTGGGAATTTTTAAACTAGGTTTTGAATAAATAACCCTTTGTTTAAAACTATTTTTTTAACGTTAAAGAGGTCAACCGAAACAAAGCTTAAATATTTTTTATTGTAGCTGTATGTTATTTTTAACCGACTTCAAAAAAGGAGGATTTTCTCAATCTCCGTCATATATAGACTGAAATATAAGCTGCTATAAACTATTATAGCAGCTCTAATTGTTTCCTTCATTACTTTAGAAAATAGATAATTTTTATATGACAGCATCATTACTTTAATATGGTTAGTGACGTCAATCAGATACCGATAACAACAGACAGACCAACAGTGTTATTAGTAACGACTAACGAGGTATTCTATAATAGTTTTCAGGGGTGACAGCATCTGCATTTTGAGTCCTAATTTAGAAAAGGGATAGGTGTTTATCCGTCACAGAATTCTCACTATACGATGAACTGTGTGAACGATGAACTGAGTGAGTGACAAACGAGCACACACTCTACCTGATGTTAAGTCGATGCTGTGGTCCATAGACATCTACATTTAGCCTCGATGAAGCATCAAAATGCATGTACGTTGTCACCCCTCAGGGCTAAATGAAATGCCTAGTTTCCGGTTCTTTACATGAACCACACGAAACACAGCAGCATTAAGTTGCTGTTTCACGCTGGTATTCTCGGAGAACGTGGTTCTACTCCGGTCGAGACGACCCATTCGTGCTACAACCATAATATAGCTGCAGCATGGCTCTACGACGTTAAATATTATCTATGAACTACATCCTTACGTACACGTTTTTTGGAATGCGCGCATGTTTTCGGCCGATATCACGTAGTTATGCGAAGCGCGTAGTAACCGCACGTGCCTCGCTACATATTCTGTTGGTGTTGGAAAGCGAAAGTTGCCATACTCGTGGCTAGGAACATCGGGGTCGGGTGGGTTACACGGATTAAAATTCAAAATGACGTAATTATATGTATATGTGTATGACGTTCGAATACTATACAGCTATTCAGGAGTATTGAATAACCAAGGTCGCGTTGTTTTGTATAATTTTTTATTTATTTATTTATGCACACAACAAGATACAGAAACAGTCTTATTGTGAGTTTGTACATAGGTTCTACTTATTACATAATTTGCTGAAATATCTTCCAGTAGACCCACAAAGGAATATAAAATATATTAAAATGCAAACTTAGTGCATACAATACTTCTACTATAAATAAAATAAAATATACAATAAATAAAAATAATACATGCAATAGCTACATATGATATGTATAAAATAATATGATAAAATAATATATATTAATTAATAGGATGCAACGAAATTACCTCAACACGTTTTAAATACCAATAATGTTTCGGAATTTCTTATATTCCTTACTTCTTACCACTAAATAAGTTACAATTCTTGTTATAAGAACGGCATTTTCCGGACTACAAGTAAAAATAATTAAAAACTGCGGTTTCCAGTCCGTTTGCCAAGCGTGGCAACTATGATATATACCTTTAATATTAAGAGGATGCCTATGTTCAGCCGTGGCCCTTTGTTTGATATACAATGATGAATAAAATAAAATTATATAAATGTTATATGAGTAATATGTAAACTAAATAATGATTGTCACGTAAAATTAACACAAATTATAAAATATGTTGAATTTGTTGAACTATGATAATGATACCATTGATTTATTGTTATATGATGTATCATAAATATTTAAATTATATTTAAATTAATCCACTAGGCCTTAAAAATGACGTATTATTTTTCTAAATAATACAATGTTTAAGTTTGGTATCGCCACGCTTTAGTTTTGTAAGATGTTCCCCTGGTTTATTTCAGTCACGGTGACAACATAACATCCGTTATCTAAAGTCATCAACCGTTTGACCTTCTAGTATTATAGTGCTAGTAGCTCCACCCAGTCTTCGTATGGGTGATTTCTGGATCTCGACAACAGCGCCATATCATGTTCAATTGAAGATCTAAATCATCCAGGGACCAACTGAAACACACACAAATATTTCATCAGAATCGTTCCAGCCGTTTAGGAGGAGTTAAGGCACAAAACACGTTCAGAATGTATATGTATAAAGGTAGCCTAAACACAAATAGAGGTTACTATCGTTCGTACCTTTTTTAACATGGGGAAATGCCTACGCATACCCGCCTCGCGGCGACAATGACATCGGACTCGAACCGTGTTCCACCTTCGTCGCATATTGGCAGTGCCACCGGAACGCTTTCGTACACATCCGCGGCCCCACCAGAGCCGGCCGCCCCGCCCCATGGCTGCTCCTCCTCGGGAGAGGACTACTCTCCCATCTCCTTCTCAGGTAAGGCGCACCAGAACACATGGCGCGCCTTTCTCCACAGTCTTCAACTACACCTGCACAGCGGACGCCTCCGTGCGCGATACGCGAAGGCCATGGGGCCAGAAAAAACGAGCACTCAGCAGCACTAGCCTTCCTGACCCCAGCGGCGGATTTCGTTTATTGCTCTACCGCCAACCAAGATTCGGAAGACCACCCACCAACGCACATCCGAAGTGGGCTAGGCAAACCCTTCTCTTGTCTCTTTGCCACCGATACGACAGTTTCGATGTTGTGTATTTCATTGGCAGACGCTGGCTTGAAGCTTACGCAGATATAGACATCAATACCTGAGACGACTAACCGAATGTGGATTTGACGGTTGATTCAGATAGTTTTTCTTTACACCATGAAACATTAAATCGTATCCCTTTATCCATAAATCGTATTGGCTCGGAAAAACCGCTTATAGCATAGCAAGCTGACGTCACTCAGGACTTAATAGAGCGTGTTCTTCCAGAACGCCTTATTCCGCCGGACGCTCTCCACTGAAGCCTTACTAGAACTAGTCTGAATAGAAAGCGTCTGGGTCGTATGTGAAGTAGCAGCTCATTCGGCATTCAGTTCGAGTGGGGCTACAGAATAGAATAGAAAAGAATATTATTCAATATAGATTACAAGTAATTCTCATTAAAAGTATTTTTATTTTACTTTTACCACTGGTTCGAAAAAAAACCTCTGCCCTAGGAATAACTAGCAAGAAACCCATTTACTAGCGATTACTGTCACTGTTTTTCGTATGATACCTAAGTGACGCTGAAAGAACCGGAAAACGTGGTGCCTCTAGTACATTAGACCCCGCCAATTTTAAACCAATTTCTGTACTACCAACGTTTAGTAAAATTGTTTAAAAAATAATTTTAGATCAGAAGTTAAGTTTCTTTAATATTAATAAATTGCTAGATAAAAATCAATTCGGTTTTACAAGGGGTCGCTCGACAACTGACGCTGGAGTTGAAGCTCACCATTAAAACATATTTTTTGTGCATGAAAGAATTCAGAGGATGCTTTGGGTATATTTCGTGACCTCTCCAAGGGCTACGACTGTGTTCGCCGTGAGACATTAATCAGGAAGCTACAGTAACAGTGCTATGGTGTCTTGAACACAGCACTTAAACTTATTGTTTCATATTTAAGTAATAGAATACAG